TTTATCATAATTATTTTTCCCGGATAGTTTTAATTTTTTTTAAATAAAATACTTCGGGATAGTGACAGTGCGCTTAAATTAATTAAGAGATTAAGAGCTTGTTAAAGTTCGTAGACCTTGGTTTTCTTTACTTTTGGAGTTAAAGCTTGTTAACGATATGTTTGCAGAAAGTTAATTATTTTTCAAAAGTTGTATTCTTTTTAAGTTTACAAAGTAGCATAATTTAAAAACTCGCATTTGAAAATTATTTTTTTTACAGTAGCTAAATCTATTTCACTTTTGTTGTTCCTAAATTTTTTAATTAGAATGCAATTCTCAATGAAAAATTAGTCGAACAAATACATTATAATGGGTACGCTATTTCGGCTAGTAAAAGAACAAATTTGTTTTACAAACAGTGGCAAATTTTGTTGATATTTTTATTATAATACATGTTTTGTTTTATGATGCACATTTTACCTCTTTTTCAATGTGTTAATTTTTATAATGTGCTCTGATTCGAATTTAAGTTAATTCTCAATTTTAAGCACCATTATTATAATTTATTAATATTATTTATAAAAAAGTCCTTAAAAATATCTCTTCTGATTATTTTGCGCACCTAAAATCAACATGAAAGTTTTTGGCGACGGACCATTGCAATTTTGAATCATGTACAAGTGACAAGGACGACACTTGAACTGGCACCCCATTCTCCAAACTTTCACACCAGCGTGAGGACTTGGAGCTTCGACAGATTTAATGTGCATCGCCCCTTTATAAGACGGGCATATATACAATAACATCAGGACTCAATCATCTCTCTTCGTTAAAAGGCAAAGGCTAATTAATTAACACGAATTCTTCCTCCTATGTAAATAATAATAGGACACAAAAACTCTCATAGAATTTGATATTTTTACGCTTTTTATTTTTCTGGTATAATTTTTGAAAATCTTTGAAGAACATTTGGCTGTTATTCTGAGAATATGTGTGGGTCAGATACTGATAACTTATTAATGAAATAACTTAGAATTTTTAAAAATAATTCACCGATATTGGAGTCATTAAATCAGACACTAATTAAGATTGTAGAGGAACTTATTTTGAAAAACAAATCAAAAATCAAAAGCTTCACAACAACATTTCACTATTTTAAATTATAAAGTAAGCCGGCCAAAGTAAATATCGGTCGTTTTCAACTATTTCATCCAATAATGTTACGTAACTTTTGTTATATAACGGATGTGCATGTAAATGTAGATCATGCTCATAAATTGAACAAATAGAGTTATAATTGAATGGATCGTCAGAAATTCGTTATGTAAGGAAAGATAGCAGTAAGCAAACACTATCTCTGACACGAGTATATCCTTTTTTATTTCCTTTTCTTTTTTCTTCTTTTGCCTGATAATTCATGCATATTTATTTCATGACATAAAAGTAAAGATATGATAAACACATTGAAATATTTCCTCTTTGTCAATTTCTTCTAGTTAGAGATATGATTAGAGCTATATATGAAATAGTTTTATCTGTAGCGATATCTAATCAAAATCTGAGTTTATTTACAAGGAAATAAAGCAACTAGTTATTCAGAGCTAATTAAATGTTCAGATTAGGTCTTGGCTTTGGGATGAAGGGGTTTTGACACTAGAGAGAATGTTTTTGTTTCCCCTTTATGCAATTGAAAATCTCTAAAACAATTAAGATTTTAAATTGCGAAATAAAGATTCAGACTTTATTGTTAGGACGAATTCATGGCGTCTGTTGATGCGTGAAGACAGCCTTATTAAAAAAAGCAGGATACAGAAATCAATAACCCATGACAGCAAATATCTATATTTTTTTTTACAGATACTTTTGTCAGGGTCTCAGTGCACTATGTTTGCAATGTAAGTACTGTGAAACGAAAAAAGTTATTCCGCTTTTTTAAATTACTTATGGGTTAGAAAACACATACAGACATCAATAATTTTTTTTCAACACTCATGAGCTTTACCACGTAGTGTGTCCGCTTCGTAAGACTAATGTTGCGGGTTCGAACCCAGCTGGAGTTGATAGATTTTCTGGATGAGGAAATCGTAGGCACGCATATCATATGATTATGTGGAATGTAAAAGATCCCTTTGTAACTGGTCTATTCGTGAACCTCCTATTAATCCTCTTGGGGAAAAACTTTCTTTAAATATTATTCTATTGAAAATTTTCTCCCGAAGAAGAAGATGCGACTTATGTAAATCAAGGCTTATATATTTAAGAATTAACTTTTAGGTTCAATAGTGAGAGAGAGGTTAGGAGCTAGATGATAGAAGTTAGTGATCAACGTAAAGTAATAGAAAGCTAGTCGAGAGTGACTCGTAGATTATTATTTGGTCAATTACATATTTAAATTGGAAGAATGTCGGCTTGAAGTAGATTAACTTAGAACATAATTTCGATTATTTGGAATGTGTATTGCCAAGATGTTCCAAAAGTAAGTGATTCAATTCACAATTAAATATTAACTATCCCGTCTACCTCATTTTTGCTCCAATACCTTATAGGTGCATTTCCTAACCTGGGCTGTTGAGATTTGTTAGGTTATTGAGACTTGTTAATAAAAATTCTATTTGTTTTGACTATGATTAATCTTCCTTCTAATTCTCGAACACTGATAGATGTGAGGGCACATCCATCACACCTTGAGTATCAATTTCGCTCTTGGTACTCTAGATAAAATTAAATCACGGCATTATTTAGCATCCTACGAGAGCTTGCATTAAAATTAATTAAAGCGTCCAAATTTGGTAGCGAGTGCCACCGCTAGATGGTGCTTGAACTATGAAATGGCTCTCACATTTGGAGACTTACCGTGACTGCAAAGGGTTAGTTAACAATATGCAGCCCATTAGGGAAAAATAATGGTATGGTAAATAATTCAAGTGGTATATTTTACACTTAAACTGCAAGTGTTTGTGTGTGTATTTTCCTAGTTTTTATTATTTCTAAATGAGTAATAAAGAATAACTTCAACTATATTGAAAATTAGACCTGACAGAATTCTCTCACGTTAGAATATAAATTTTTGTAAAATTATTTGTCAGAATTTATACTTTTATTCTTTAACTATTCAAGTAGCATAATTTAAGAAAACTATAAACTTGTTTTCTTTAATAGATCCTTTTTAAGTAGTTTTAATAATAAAATTACATGATTAACTATCCTTTATTTGAGTTTGAATGGCAAAATGACTTGTCTATTTCCCAGTGCTAGTATTCTAACAATTTAAATTTTCGAAGCTTATTTTAATATTAATCTAAGTAACAAACACACAGTTATATGTAAAACCATACCGACACTATGCTCCTCTTATTTAATAGTTCTTCATTTTACAGAAGAAAAATTTTGCTATATCTTTTGTAAGTAAAACAGGACCATGGTTCAAAATTACGTGGTCCGTCGCCAAAAGCCCTCGTGTATCTGAGCAGTGCGACGTTAATATTCAATCAATCAATCAATCAATTTGTAAGTAAAACAGAAATAAACGTATCCTACTTTAATAATATAATCATATTTCCTGATTTAGTTAAGTTGAATAAGAATTAGAGATATTTATAAGTTTGACCTCTCAGATTGCATGAGCAAATGACTAGATAAGGAATATTAGTGTGTCTTAATAATTACCTACGAATACACAAGGTCGACGAGTACTTTTTTTCCCCACAAGAATGATTCCGATACATATCTGACTAATACGAAACAATATACAATCTCATTGAAACAAGACGGATTTTCCGTTATCCTAAAGAGTATTAAATATAACTCCACCCTCTTTATTAAAATTGGCGCCGTTTCAAAATATGTTGAGAAAGTTCTCCTACTCCATAGGGCCAAATTTATTATGATTTTTTAGATTTTAACTGATATTTTTTTAAATGTAGTTTTTGCTACCCAACGGTAAAAGCAATTATTTCCATTTTACTCAACTCGTTGTCAGTCAGACGCGCAGGCTTTTTTCCCCTGTTCGTAAGGTGACCAACCGTCCTTCTTTTATAGGTTTTGTCCTTCCTCGAAAAGTGTCCTCCTTTTCAATATTTTAAAACTGATCTGTTAATCTCTGTATTCAGAGATGAATCAAACATGTTCCAAATTGAAGAATGGTCTGAAACAAATATCACAGAAATGAATAGTTTTCAATGATATTTTTTGACTTTTGTCTCAAAGTAAATTTGGGCAGATATAGAAAGCTTACGTTTTAGGTTTTTTTCCGAAAACACCTTTATATTAAAACGATGACAATTATCCGTTTCAAGTAGAAAAAGACTGATTTCCATATTTCAAATCTAAACAAATTAAGAACAATTAGTTACACACATCACATGCTAGAAATTGGAGATAAAAAGATACGTTGGATTTCTTAAACCATTTAAAAATAAACACAATTTATAGTAGAAAAGATAATGTATTTCTTGAATTTAGCGCTGTGCTCCCTTCATGGAAACAGTTGAAAAGAGGTTTTTCAGTTAATGATTATTGTAAGTGATAGAAGAAATCAAATATTGAATGTAATATTTTGTTAGCTACGTGCTTACCCTAAAATTCAGTATGAAGAATTTTTCGTTGATATATTAGAAGTGATAGTGAAAATCAATTAATGGTAATATTTTTAAGATAAAATCAAAAGAATATTTTTTAGCCCGACTTTCCGTATGATTATAAAGTGGTACGTTGACAAAAAAACATTCAATGGAAAAGTATTTTAAGATAATAATTAAAAAGAAAAGAGCGTAATTCAGCGACTTTATGAATTAATAAAATGTTTCACACACACACACACACATTTAAGTTGTAGTTTTTTCTTAAATTTTTCGTCCTCCTTTTCATTGTAAAAAAATGGTCACCTTACTGTTCGTGATGAAATCAATGTAAATTTTTTCCGGTGTATTTTATTCGATTTTTCAAAAAGTTAAAACTGGGAATGTTTAACGTGTCACAAATATAACGAAGAGGTAGTAAATCCTAGATCTATTTAAAATGAGGGCGCTTAGCCAGTATGGTGGTTATGATACTCGGCTTGCGATCGAGTGGGCTCAGGTTCGAATCCTGAATATGGCCTGGATGCATCATCAGAAAAAGAAGTCGGACCTTCGCCTGAAATGAATTCTCTTCTCGAATGGAAAGCAGCGCACCTCTTCTGCTCTTTGCTGGGATGATCGTTTGTAATGAAATCTATATTCATCTATATAGGATTGTATTGTATGTTTCTGATCAAATCTATCTCTTGTCTTTCGTATGTATCCCAGGATGAAACGTACGATGACGACAACAACATTTAAAATGAGGAATATATTGAGTTTTACTATATACATATGAGATAACTAAAACATACTGTCAACACAAAAATATTTTAACGAAGTCCTTCTGTTTATATGATTCTCATTGATTTAAGAAAATAGAAACATCGTTATTAAATGGATAGTCATTTTTATACCTTAAATTTAAAAATACTGAGATCCAAGAAAATATTATTTCGGTCTCACTCTTTATTTTTAAATTTTAAGATAATTATAAGCTATGAAAAAAATGTACTGTCTTGAATAATTTTCTTAAATGAAAAATGAATGCTGTTTTTGTGTGAGGTTATGACATTTAATATCTTTTTCGTATTATTGCCTTTCATCCCTACTGTAGTGGGTCGATAAATGAGTACCAAGCTTGCTTGGGGACTTAAACACTGGGGGTCTCGCTTCAGACTGACCACCTGATCGGGACATCTGCTCATGCAACTCAGCGCCCAATGGTTATGTATACTGGGATGGGCACAGAAAGCCCTGGCCTTCATGGCCTGTTGCGCTACTGAGTTTGAGTTTTGTATTATTAACTATCCTTATCTGAAGTTCTGTTTTATATTGCAATAACAAACATCGTATTTATAATTTAGATTATTTTTCCCCGATTAAGTCTCCCTAATAAAATAGTTACGTAAGAATTTACAAAAAAGGAAGCTATTTTCAAAGTATAGATTTTATAGTAGGATATAAACTACTGAGATATTTATAAAAATTTGATGTACCAAAAACACACAACATTATTTTCAATTCAGTATTTCATTGGCGTTCAACTATTTGTTTTTTTAATAATAGGCACCATTTTCAATATTCATTTTAAAAACATGTATATTTTCAACCTACTTAGAATGTTAGAATCATTCAAATTTCTGAAAGAAATAATTGAGATTATGAGCCGCATATAAATTTTTGGAGAGTGCGCATATGTAGTTAAAAATACACACACACACAAATTAAAAAGGAAGTTAAGAAAAAATTATAAACTTAATTTTTACAAAAGTTTTGTTGTATTTTCAATCCTATATGGAATTTTTTTTACCCAATTTAAAATTAAAAGCATTCCTAATTATTCTTATTGTGCCTCTAAAAATTCCAATTACTAAGCGTCATTGATTGTTCACATACCTCAAATTTTTATTCCATTACAATGAAAATCGTTTAACGCGAAATTGAGTGGATTGAAATATTTTTCATGTTAAAGAATATTGAAAAAAACATATTTAACGAAATGGTTTATTATATTATATTTTTAAAAATAGAAACGTATATATCTGCATATATTTAATCAAAATCAATGAAACAAAAACATTCACAAGAGCTTAATGAAATTTAATACAAAATTTTCAAGTTTTTGAAAAATAAAATATTTATTTAATTTTTGGAAAACAATCTGATATTTTTCTTTGCATTGTCTTTTTTAGTACCAAATTGTCCACAGATTGTTCGGTGTCGTCCATCTTGTTATTCATTTCATCAGTGGAATGTGCGTCTAAATAACTGTGCATACTTTTTGTCATGATGTTCCTCTTTTCGGATAGTTTTGTGTGGTGTTTGTAGGGTTGGAGGGTGAATGTAGCTTACATAAAAAAAATTGGTTCGTGTTACGGGCCATTCCAAAGGTATTTCACAGCCAAGTTAGCCTCCTTTCTACGAAGCATGGAAAACCATCTCTCTTTCATTTCACATCCCTTTTAAATCTCGACTGCATGGCTGGTGTTTTCCGTATTTTGTTTATTTCCTGAAGGGAAATCTTTTCGTGTTAAGCGATTTTCGCTTCGTGTTAAAAGAAATAAATACATGAAAATATATAGTAGTTTGTCAGGACCGTTGCATTACTTCGTGTTAACCGATATTTCGTCTTGAGCGTTTTCGTGTTAAACGAATTTCGCTGTATTTTTCAATTCCTACTATTAGCTCACACTCTCTATATATCTATTTATTTATCTTGGAGGAATTTTCAAACGTTAATAAAATACATTTTAAAGCCTCAATTGAGCTGAAATTTATATACACGATTATTTTGGATGGAGTACAAAATTTAGTATATTAATAAAATTCATTATCTGAAAACTAATTATATATTTAAAGAATTACAGATACAGCCACGTTGGCATCGTTTTTGGCGACTTGTGTCAAAACTTGAAAAGGTTTTTTTCTCACGTTTTAAAGCATTCAGTTGAACTGAAATTTTATATACGCGATTGTTTTGAATGGCAAAACGATACTTTAACGATAATTAATAAAAATTAATTACCACTTAATGTTGTGATTCTGTCTTATGTATATACATATTTATATTAATTGTAACTATTTAATAAAAAGTAGCTAAAATAAATTTTTTCTTTGTTGATCTAAGTGGGAATTGACTTCAAAATTTTTTTTTAATATTACTTGTTATTTTTAGTAATAAAAAACTATGGATCCAGAATATATTTGGTAATATAGAAATTTCATATACACACACAAACTTACAGAATCAATCACAATAACTGAAAATAAAAGATGGGAGGCAATAAACAAAAGAACCATCAACAATGATGCTTTAGTATATGAAAAAAAAAAATGTTGCTAAATAAATTAAAAGGAAAAGCTATACCTACAATACAACAAGTCTTTCCCTGAGATTCAGGATGGCCGCGCTATCCTAATGGTTATGGTTAAAGACTCGTGACCGGCTTGTCATGGGTTCGAGCCTTGTGCAGCTGAAAGCACGCCAGTAGAGGGTCTGAGTCAAAAGGTAGAGGTAAAATCCTCCCGTGGCGTGGTGTGGAAGTTCGGAGAGTGGGGTGCCAGCTCAGGTGTCGTCTAAGTCACTTGATTGTGATTCGAAATCACGAAGCCTGTCGCCAGTAGCTTTCGTGTGGCTTTATAGTGCGACATTAACACTAGAAAGACTGAAACTTAGTATATACCTATATTGCCCAAAAGCAGTCAAAATGACTGCATTGTGAAAGAATGATTAATGTGCAAAGAGATTTGTTTAAAATTAATTTTTATATTATTTACAGTCATATAACAAGTTATTAGTAAATATTAACAATAAAAATTTTTTTAATTCACTTGGAAAAAAAAATATATTGTAAAAAATTCTAAGAAATTGTCCATTATATAAGCAATTTTTTTCTAATTGAAATTAAAAAGTAGTCATAATGACTTCCTTTGGGCATTCTAGTGTTATATATATACTCACCCTGAAACTAAATAGAACCTATTGCTGGCAAATGGAGATTTCTTGGGTCAAAAAGAGTTACATGCCTACAAATGATAATTTATCCCCTCTTTTTCTTAAAAAATTCTGCGAATATTTCTCTAAATGCTTATTTCCAATTTAAATTTAAGTAGCTCCTTTGACGTTTAAAAGCAAAGGAGTCTAGGAATTAAAAAGTATTTGAATCAAAATTTTTTTTAATGTACCATGTTTTTATAACGGACTAAAAAGTATATACTTTTTCTTCTTTTTTCCCATTTTCACGCATTGTCGTCCACTTCTGAGCTGTAGTCCAAATTTCAAGTCTCTAGCTCATCGGGAAGTTAGGTTAAAATCAATTACAAAATTCCATCAGTACAGACATAAAGACAGGCGAGTTAATAAAAACATGGTTTAATATTTCCAATGAAGGGAATTAAAAATAAAAAAAGTTGTTTTCCATAAAAAACATTTTTTTTTTATCCAGTAATTGATATCATATTTCTGATAACATACATTTTAAAGCTTATAATAGAATTCCTTTTCAAGGTTTGCTAATACATACAATAGAAATTAAACCCCATTTTTCTATTTTGTTAACAGCAAAAAACACGAACTATCATTAAAGTTTGTTAATATAACATTTCATTTCTACCAAATCATTGATAAAAGTAGTAAATATATATATTTTCAAAATAAAACAGAGAGAGAGAGAGAGAGACAATAGTTATTAAGGAAAATTCCCTCAAGGTATTACTGAAGAATAATAAATGGAAATTTTCTTCTGGGATATAATCATAAATAAATCTGGCAATCAAAATTAAATTCTTGTCAATGATACGCGTTACATAAGAAAAGCTTTCAAGGAGTGTAGAAATGTTAATTTTGTCGTTTCAGGAAGTACACGTGTCTACATCATTAAGCTCTTTCGCAGACTTTCAAATTAAACATTTATTCTGGAATTCTACGAAATGCGTTTTAAGAACTTAAAGGGTTCCTAGGTAGATTTGAAACATACTCAAGGTAGACAGATGAACATCTAAATCGCCACACATGTATATTTGGAGTGACTTTGCATTTAACGAAGTATTTTTCCTGGTCTCAAAATAATTTTTATAAATGTTATGCAGTATTTCATGGCCTTAGGATTTATAATTTACTTTCAGAATATGCAACAGTACATAATTATTCATATTTTGCAATCAGATTTGTACAGCTTAATGATCAGTTTAATAAAAGAAGAATTTTGAACAATTATTACAATTTCATCTGTTTATTGCTTGAAACTTTATAAATTACTAGCCGTTACCCGCATGTTTCACTAGGCGTTTCATGACGTTGTTACACTTCGCATTATTATTATTATTATTATTTTGGTCATTGTTATCGAAGTCTTGTGATGACTCTATCCGCGTCTTTCCATTAATAAAGTGCTTTTGGAAAATATATTTCAAATATATTTTATTCACAACCAACCCTCTGAAGAAGAAACCGGGATTAAGTCTGCTATATAAACACACTATAACAACAACAAAAAAAACCGACTCACCAAGAACGAGCTGTCCGATAGAGACAAAAATT